GCCAATTAATAACTCTACAGTGGCCCCTAAGGGTTCAAGTGGAAGGAAGAGTTGTGTGTCTATCACCTTAAATCAAAAGCTAGAAATGACTAAGTTTAAGTGAGGAAGGCAGGCATGTAGAAAGCTGAAAGCTAGGCTCCTTGTACCAAACAGCTAAGTTTGAATGCAAAGGAAGAGTTTTTGAAGGAAATTAAAAGTGTTACTCCAGGGAATATATGAATACTAAAGTGAAACACCCTTATGTGTGATACGGAGAAAGTGTTAGAGGTCTGGAAAGAAGATCAAACCAGCCACAACATTCCCAGACCACGGGCTAATCCAGAGCAAGGGCCTAACTCTATTCAGTTCCGTGAGAGAGGTGAGGAGGCTGCAGAAGCGAAGTTTGAAGCAAGCAGAGGTTGGCTCATGAGGTTTAAGGAAAGAAGGCTTATCTGTAACACAAAAGTGCCAGGTGAAGTAGCAACTGCTGATGTAGAAGCCGCAGCAAGTTATCTAGAAGCTGTAGCTAAGATCATTGCTGATGGTGGCTACACTAAATAACAGATTTTCAATGTAGATGAAGCAGCCTTATATTGGACAAAGAAGCCATCTAGGACTTTCGTAGCTGGAGAGGAGTCAGTGCCTGGTTACAAGGTTTCAAAGGACAGGGTGACTCTCTTGTTAGGGGCTAATGTAGTTGGTGATGTTAAGTTGAAACCAGTCTCATTTACCGTTCTGAAAATCCTAGAACCCTTAAGACTTATGCTAAATTTACTCTGCCTGTGCTCTGTGATTGGAGCAACAAAGCCTAGATAACAGCACATCTGTTTATAGCATGGTTTACTGAATAGTTTAAGCCCACTATTGAGACTTTTACTGCTCAGAAGAAAAGATTTCTTTCAAAATCTTACTGCCTGTAGACAATGCCCCTGGTCACTCAGGAGCTCTAATGGAGATATACAAGAAGATTAATACTGTTTTCCTGCCTGCTAACATAATATCCATTCTGCAGCCCACAGATCAAGGAGTAATTTTGACTTTCAAGCCTTATTATTTAAGAAATACATTTCCTAAGGCTAAATAGCTGCCATAGATAGCGATTCCTCTGATGGATTTGAGCAAAGTAAATTGAAAACCTTCTGGAAAAATTCTCTATTTTAGATGCCATTAAGAACATTTGTGATCCATGGGAGGAGATCAAATTATCAACATTAACAGGACTTTGAAAGAAGTTGATTCCAATCCTCATGGATGAGTTTGAAGATTTAGAGGAGGAAGTAGCTGCAGATGTGGTGAAAATAGCAAGAGAACTAGAGTTAGAAGTGGAGCCTAAAGATGTGACTGAATTGCTGTCATCTCATGGTCAAACTTGAACGGATGAGGAGTTGCTTCCTATGGATGAACAAAGAAAGTGGTTTCTTGAGATGGGATCTACTCCAGGTGAAGATGCCGTAAATGTTGAAATGACAACAAAGGATTTAGACTATCACATAAACTTAGTTGATAAAGCAATGGCAGGGTTTGAGAAGATTGACTCCAGTTTTGAAAGCAGTTTCACCGTGGATAAGATGCTATCAAATTGCATGCTACAGAGAAATCTTTCATGAAAGGAAGAGTCAATGTGGCAAACCTCACTGTTATCTTAAGAAATTGGCACAGCCACCCTGATCAGTCAGTAGCCATCAACATCGAAGCAAGACCCTCCACCAGCAAAAAGATTATGACTTGCTGAAGGCTCAGATGATCGTTGGCATTTTTCAACAATATGGTATTTTAAAATTAAGATATGTCAATTGTCTTTAGACATAATGCTATTGCACACTTGATAGACAACAGTATAATATAAACATAACTTTTATATGCACTGGGAAACCAAAAAATTCATGTGACTTGCTTTATTGCAATAGTTGTGATATTGTGATGGTCTGGAACTGGACCTGCATATATCTCCAAAGTATGCCTGTATTTAGAAATGCATATTTAGCATCCTTTTCAGTTGCCCACGGAATACTTCCAAAGGATTATTATTTCCTGAAGGTGGGAATGGTCTGTCTTGTTTACACGCTGAGTTCTTTTATCACTCAGAAATGCTTTCAGATGAAGGTAACAAGAAACCCAACCAGAGTTGCTTGTACAAATATGAGTTTATTTTTTCCCTCATATAAGAAATCTTGAGGTAGGCACCTCCACTATTCAGATGCTCAGCAATGTCAAGGCAGATATTTCTGGGGTTCTCTTAGCCTTTCTCACACACATTAGCAGGCAAGACAGGAAGGAGGAAGTAGACAGGACATCATCAATAGCAGAAAAGCAAAAAGCTTTTGCAGGAACGCCACCTTCCACTTATAATGAGATCATACAGCCAATTCTGGCAAAAAAGTGCATGGGAAAAATGGGATTAGAAATGGGAGTGGAGGGAGGCAGGTCACCAGCTAACAATATCTACTAGACAGTCCCTAGTATGTAAGTAGGAGGTTATCTCCATAATTATTATCTTTTTTTTTTTTTTTTTTTTTGAGACAGAGTCTCACTTTGTTGCCCAGGCTAGAGTGAATGCCATGGCATCAGCCTAGCTCACAGCAACCTCAAACTCCTGGGCTCAAGTGACCCTACTGCCTCAGCCTCCCTAGTAGCTGGGACTACAGGCATGTGCCACCATGCCCGGCTAATTTTTTTCTATATATGTTAGTTGGCCAATTAATTTCTTTCTATTTATAGTAGAGATGGGGTCTCACTCTTGCTCAGGCTGGTTTCGAACTCCTGACCTCAAGCAATCCGTCCACCTCTGCTTCCCAGAGTGCTGGGATTACAGGCGTGAGCCACCATTATCTCCATAATTCTTTACAAACATCTGTTGAATGCATATGGTGGAATATTCATTCACAAATATTCAGTGCACCTCCCTTCACAGGATAAGATGTCTGCTCTGTTGATTTCAGGTATTTGAGTATTTTTGGTCAGTGAAATATACACCGAAGTGGCTTTGAGAGCCAGGCTCTCTTTCCTCTGCCTCTGTGATCATGGGAGCATGTGTTAAGATGGAGCTGCCATCATCTTGGGTCCCCGAGTGACTATGATGAGAATTCCCAGCTGACCTATTATGAACACATAGCATGAGCAAAGACCAACCTGTATTATTTAAGTCAATGAGGTTTTCTTTTTGTTTTTTGGGTTTTTTTTTGCTACTGCAGGCTACCCTAACCTACCCTAACTGCTACAATGCCATGTACTAGGTTATAGAGAAATCCATACCAAATTCTCCAAATTAAAATTTTAAAAAGTATATTTCCTGATTGCATTAATAGTAAGAGTATGCCTAAATTAAGATAAATGAAAGCTACTTGACAACTAAACAATATTACAAAAACCATTCTATCAGAGCAGAAATCAATACTAAAAGGGTAGACTATTTAGACATTTAAGACAATGAGACCCATTGTATAAAAATCCATATGCTAAAGCTGTTATTAAAATTAAATGTTTAAAGATTGAGAATAATTGAATTAGAATTCCAAATAAGTAGAAAATGAGCAGCAAAATAAAAATCATGTGAGGGGAAGCAATTATTAAAGATAAGAGCAGACATTAGTCATGAAGCAAAAGTTGGTAGAATTGATTAATCAAATCAAGAAGCAGAACTTTGAAATGAAAAATAAAACAGGCAAATCTCTAGAAAATTTGACTGCCCTCGACACAAAGCACAGATACTCAGTGGAAGGCATGAGAAAAGGAAAGTATACATTGGTACATTTCTGGGGAGTGGTTTGACACAACTGTCAAAATGTTCAATATGTGTGCCATGAAGATTTAATGAATACATCAATGTTAGATTGAACCGAAGGAGATTCTTAAATGGCTTGTGTAAAAATGTTACTTTTTCGTGAGAAGTTTGGGCCCTGAATGTGCCGAATAGGGGATGAAGTGGATCCTTCTCCAACAACATCTGGAGGAGGACACGTCTCAATATTCTGGTCCTGTGGATGGGCCACTGACCTGGTCCCCATGATTCTATAAATTCTGTACTAGGGAGACAGTCCTGGCTATCCTACTTCCCTTTCCTCTTCCAGAATTTTCTCTCCTATTGTCCTTGTGCTCTAAAAGACAAAATCACCCCCAGGCTCCCAGGCACTCACAAGCTCTATGGGTGGCCACGAGGATGCCTTATTCCTTCACTGAGTTGTCCTTGGTCTCTGATGCCTCTAGAAAAGCTCCTTGGGTCAACATGCCCCTTCTGATGCTATAAACTAGGGCCCTTTCTGAGCTCAGGCCCAAGCTCCTCTCTCACCATTTTGCTGTAGGCTTAGAAGAATTAACACTATGGCTGGAAGGCTGAGGCTCATTCTGAGCTATGGGTCTCCATCTGCCCTTCACAACTCCACCTCCAATGGGAAGATACCTTCGTTAGTGCCCAGAATCCTAGAATGCAAAGTACAAATGCATCCACACTCCTGGTCTAAAAGTAGATGTTGGTCATTGGAATCCATGGCCAGAAAGAAATGACAGACTGTGCATTTGTGCATGTTTATATCTATTCATTTACTCATTCACTCACTCAAAAATATTTATTTGCTTACCTACTTTGTCCTGGGCATTTTTCTAGACACTCGGGATTCAGCAGTGAAACCAACAAAGAAAAATCCTTGCTCTCCTGGAGCTAACATTTTGGAAGGAGAGAGAAACAAAAAACAAAATAAATAAGTCAACTAAAATGTATATCAGGTAGTCGTAAGACCTATAAAAAACAGGGATGGAGAAAAGGGAGTATAGGGTGGTTGCAGTTTTAACACATTGACTGCCATGGAAGTTGTATTTAACTCCGGCTAGTTTTGAGCCCAGGGCATCACGAAGCAAAACCCTGCAGTGGGTTCATGCAAATCTTACTTGTTCTTATTGTTCCAATTAATGTTGAATTTAATTCTAAAAATGTGGATTGCGTTGCATATAACTCACCCACATAAAACAATAAAAAATAACAAATTAGAAAGGATCATTTTGTTTTAATAAAACACCATGGCCCCAGGGGAAAAAATATTTTCATTTTCTAGTGTGGCAGTCAATGTGTTAAATAGGGCAATTGGAGGCCCCGATGACAGATGACGTTTGAATAGAGCACAAAGGTGAGTGAGCGGGCCATGCAGGTTTCTGGGGGAGACATAGTCCAAGTAGAGAACGAAAAGCCCTAAAGAGGAAGCGTGTGAAAAATAAGGAAACAGCAAGGAGGTCAGGACAGCTGGAACTGGTTGAGTCAAGGGGGACGTCAGGGGCAACAGTCAGGTGGGGGGCATTGCCAGGCGGAAGCTTGGCTTTTTTCTGAGTGCGCTGGGAGCTGGGGAGCATTCTGAGATGGAACATGACATTCTGCCATGAAGCTGGGATAAGTGCAGGCAGCCGGTTAAGAGGCTTCTGCGATGGCCTTGGTGAGAGATGGTGGCTTGGCCCTGGATGACAGCGTGGAGGTGATAAATGGCTAGCTTCTGGGGCTCCTGCAGGTGGTGCTGCGGGGTAAGGGATTGGCGGGAAAGAGAGGAGCCAGTGATGACACCAACACCAGCCTTGAACGCCAAGAACCTGTCCTGTAGGAAACCCTGCAAAATAACATGATCACTCAAAACTCATCTTTTCACTACCTCCTTCCTCCCCCTCCGAGGACCTGCGAGAGATCATCTCTGAAAGCGCTTCCCTAGAACTTGCCCAGTCTCCCTCCAGAGGGCTCTGCTTCCCGTGGCTGGACCAAAAACGGAATAGGAAGTGAGCCCAGAGCGAGGCTCATCTGAATTCTGCCTCAGTCCCCTTCTCTCTTCAGCAGAGAAACGGCACGGTGTAACCTGCTCGTCGAAGAACAATATTCAATTAGGGCTGAGAGAGTTAGACAAGCAAACAATTAAATGTTCTATTATGACCAGTCTTGAGCCATTTAAGCTTCAGTTGAAAAAGGAATCATTACAAAGGTCTAATAGAAATGAAAATGTGAATAGTGCAGTTTTGTGTTGCATTCCTGCTGTCTCCACAGCCTTGCGGATCTAAAGTCGGTTTGACCGTGGCGGAGGAAGGCTCCCAGCCACGAGGGGATTTAGTGCAGACCACAGGGGGCAGGAGGCAGGAGGCAGGCGTGTCCACCAGCGGTGGGGGAGGGGGAGAGGGGACTTATGGCTAAGCTGGCTTGAACCAGCCCAGCAGGGATTTTTCATCTTATTTTCAATGTCTGAGAAGCAACACAAATATCCTGCCTGGGAGGGAGGAGAAGCAGCTTAAAAGAAACTCCTGGATGTCTTGTGAGATGCTGGATTATAAAATAAATATATCTAATAAAATCCCCCTGGTTACAAAGCTTTGAGGATTTGGAAATAACTTCAGACTGTTTCATGAAGGCATTGCTTTACTACAAATGGGAAAAAACACCCAGTTACGGCAGAGGGCTTTGGGATGAAGATACCATCCGTCCTGAGGTGGGATTCCCTGCGGACAGCACTCCCGGCCTTCTGGGCTGTGGAGGTGCAAATTCAGGCCACTTCTTCCTTGTACCCTCTCAATATCTCCCTCGGCATCTTGAGGAGGTCCAGTCTCCTCTCAGGAATACCCAGTGTGTCCTGAGCATACAATATGGACATAGGCTTGGTATATGTGAGTCAGGTCTTTGGTGTTGCGAGTGACAGGAAACTCAACTCAAATTGGTTAGCAAAATGCAGAACGTGTTGGCTCATGTAACTGAAAAGGCCAGGGCTAGAGCTAGCTTCAGGCATGGTTGGATCAGGATGCCTGATCCGGATGATGTCTGTGGGAATCGCCTCCCTCACCCTTGACTCTGTTTTCCCACGTGTCAGCATCACTTTCAGACAAAGTCTCCCTTGGTGGGTCCTGGAAGCGCCAGGTTTACACGTCACCCTTCTAACAGTAGTAATAAAGAAACTGCTTCTCTTGCCTAATAGCTCTAGTCAAACACGGCTTGGGCTGTGGGTCCATCCTCAATCCAGTTATGGTGGTCAGAGGGATGGAGTATTTGGATTGGCCAGACTAGGGTCAATTTCACCTCTGGATTCAGAGGTGAGATTAATCCTTACACAAACGATATGATCATGAGTGGGAGAGGGAGATGGTTTCTCAAAGGAAGAGTGGTGGATATTTGGTGGCTAACAGTAACAGGTTACCTCCCATCTTTGCCTCCTAATTTTCATAGTCATGGTCAAAGTCCCTTTAAGCTCAGACGCGCACTGGCTGCGGTAGGCTTGCTGGTGTAGTTTCACTGTGAAGGCAGTGCCCGGTGGGAGGAGCCCCTTTGCGCATGGTGAGAGGATGCAGCTTCTGCCCTTGATCTTCCAGGATCTTTCAGGCTCTGAACTTGAACTTGTAGTCCCTTCATTTACTTCAGGGTCTTGTTAAGACCAGTTAAGAGTCAGAGGGGGAACACACAAAAATGAGACACAAAGCAGGTGTCTTAGGTCTATGCATCAAGGCCTTAGGAAGAGTCCTTCTTTTTTCATTGCATTAATTTTTACTTGCCATCAGCACTGTGTTATCTAGAGCAAGGATTGACAAACTTTCTCTATTAATATAAAGGGCAAGATATTTAACATTTTAAATATTATTCAGCTTAGCCTGTGTTGCAACTATTCTGCCATTGTAGTTCAAAAACAGCCATGGACAATAAAGGTTTATTCACAACAGGCTGCAGGCCAGGATTGGGCCATGGGCTGTAATTTGCTGACCTCCAATCTAGAGCACGGTTGCAGGCTTTGCTCGTCAGGATGCTGCAATAGGGTTAGAGAGCAGAAGGTTTTGGGGAGAGTAACACGTGCGGGGGAAAAAAGAGGACTGTGCTGGAGGGGCCATAAGACCACACCGCAGACCTCACAAGGTCTCTACCAGCTCAGGCGGGAGCTCTGGGTTAATTAGACAGACCATTAGAAAAGTCCTCATTGGGGAGAAATGGCCAGGCCCTAATACACTACCTTTCTCAGATCACTAGCCAGGGGCCGCCCAGAAAGGGTATGACCTTGGTTCACAAGCTGATGACTCAGAAGTTGGTGCCAGGTGGAGGCTGTCAGTTATCCACACTCCTTGCCGCTGGGCAGTGTGTTTTCTCTCTAAGGAGGATTTGAGTGGTGTATCTTCATGTCCTCCGCAAGATCAAGGAATAAACACAGGGGAAAGGCCAGGGAGGAATACTTGCTTGCTCTGAAGTAGGATTTTGGCCTGCCTCCAGAAAGGACCAAGAGATTTAGATTTGGAACAAAAGGCTTTTGGTAAAAAGACATTGTGATCTTGCCTACAGCATCCTTTCCCTTGAGAATCCACAGTGGCATTTGCAGCTGAACATAAGCTCAGAGGCCCTGGGCCCTGGCCAAACTCATCATGGCCACCACATTTGAGGTTAATCAAGCTCATTTTGTTCAGTTTTATTTCCAATTAGCAAACTTCTGATTATAATTTGCTTCTTCATGTGGCTTTCTCTGTAGCAAAGAATGCGCTGACCATTGGGCTTGCGTAAACAATTGCGTTTCTCGTTATAAATGAATACTTACGTACTTGCCTCACTTTCATGTGAGTCCACCACGGAGAAGTGAACCCAGGGCCAGAGTCTGGACCATATTTCAGCCTAATCAATTGAGAACCTCAAGGATTCACCAAAGCAAATGCCGCCTTATAAGGCTTTTAGGAACTCAGGAAGGCTGTCATCCTTAGAAACTCCCCTACCTTGCCAAGCTCTTCCTTGAACCTTTTGCATTGCAAATATATAAAAAGTTGTTCAGGTGAATGACAACCACCAAATCTTATAAGATGTGACATGACCCATGTCACAAGCATCTGTAGCACCATGAGGGTAATGCAGAGGCTAATAACGGTAAGTAGATTTCGAAACCCCCTGCGGTGGGTCTGAAAGGCACGTGGCTTCCAGCTAAAGACTACATTTCCCTGGCTCCCTTGCGGCCAGCTGGGCATGGCCATGCATGTGAATTCTAGCTAACGGGATGTGGGGATAAGCAATGGGGGCATCTTCTGAGTCGTGACCTTACAGGGAAAGTAGCAAACCTTCCCCACTTTCTCTGTTCCATTTCCTGCTGGCTAAGATGTATATGATGATGGGACTCAAAGCAGCTATATTGAGTCACAGAATGGACCACGAAGTGAGGCAAGCAGAGCAACAAGATGGAAGGAGTAGCCACCACTAACCACTGACTGCCTATCTAGACTTTCCATGGCAGAGAAATTATAATAATTTCTAACTTTTAAAGCCACTATTATTTTGAGTCTCTCTTTTGTAACAGCCGAACTAATACTCTAATGCATACAGTTCTTTTACTCCTCATGTATGCAGTGAGAGAGGATCAATAGAAGATCATAAGCTCTTGGCAAATGTCTAGAAATATAATACAAGGTGCAGCATAGTAGACCCTCAGTAAATATTTGGGGAATTAATGAATAAAGCATTCCACGCCAATTCAATGAGATCAGTAGTGATAGCCTGACTTTTGCCTATGAGGAAACAAAAGTTCAGAGATATTAAGTGACTTGTCCAACCTGGCACAGGTGGTCAAGAGCTGAACCAGGATTCAAAGTCAGCTGGGTCTGTCACAAAGCTTTGGATCTTTTCCTGTATTTGGGTATTACCTCCTTTGAGAGTCTAGAGTTTTCTGCTTATATGGCCAGAGAAGCAGCATTTCCATTTCGAACAATGAGTGTACAATTCTTCTTTGCCGTGGCATAGGGTTTCTTCAGGACATCCCTGTCTTCAAGTAGTAGAGAGGCTGAAACCATTGTGTGAGTCCAGGGTACCCTTGGGAGTAGAGGAAAAGAAGAATCAAAAAGGAGCACAGGTTAGCATGGAACAGACTTCTCTGCTTAGGTTCAAGACAGTTGTCACATGTGGGAAAAACTCCATCAGAAACATTGTGAATATGAAGCCCACCCACTATTTTTTTTATTTTTTTTGCACATGTGTAATACCTGGAAATGCTGTTGGTGATGAAAATTGACCAAAACTGTCCCAAAGCCCAGGCAAAAGCCTGCCATTCACCAGATATCTAGGAGAACAGATCAAGTTGCAAACAGATTTTGAGTTTTGTTTTGCCCTGGAGGAGGGGGATTCAAAGCATCTGCCATCATTTTAATCATGGGAGGCTTCGTTTGGAAGTCCCAAGACTTCTTTTATCAGCTAGGGGCTTGAGCAGCATCTGCCTTCTTGAAATGGGGCTAGGGTCTCCACTCACCAGAGAGAGCCCCCCTAGCCAGCTGCCCTTGTTTATATCCCCAGTCTGGCTGATGGTTCCTCCTGTGTTTGTGGCCCTCTTTTAGGGAACAGAGCAAGCAGGATTTCCAGAAGACAGAGGTGGGTGTGAGTCTTCCCTAGGTCCCCATGGTCTAGGACAAACCAGGGTACTGACATGCAGATGACCAACCAGGGGCCCTGGCCATCAATAGGGACCTCACACCCTGAGCAGAGCAGAGCTGCACTGGTGGTGTGGTGACCTGGGCCAGAGGCCACACAGGACACAGGGGGATAGAACCTTCCCGAGGAATGAGAGTTGACACCAACAGAGCTGCAGAATTTCCCATGTTCTTTTTAGGCACGGGGTGATTGGCCTCTGGTATCAGTGGGGCATTCTGAGAGGGTGAATGAGTGTGTGTGTGTGTGTGTCTGAGTGTGTGTGTGGAGGTGCTGTCTCCGTGTGGTCTCTGGGTGAGCGGTGTGCAGGCTGAGTGGGTGTTTTGCACCTGATGGGAACAGAGGCGATGCATGAACCGTGTCCGTGTGCATGTGACAGGTGAGGAGCCTGTGCCTTGAGCACAGGGTGTGAAGCATGAAGGCAGCACCTCAATAAATGTTCTTAATTTTTATCATCGCATAGCTCTTTTATCAGCATATTATTTCACTTGAATTGATAGCAGCTCTCCCTCCTCCAGGATAATTCATTCGGGTCTAACGTTGACAACAGAAGTAAGAACCATCCATCCTGGTTTCACGCAGAGTTGGGGGCTCACTTCTGGTCCTGGATTGCCTGCTTGTTTAGCTAGTTATCTGGTTGGTTGAATGGTCAGATTCTAAGTGACCTATGTTGGTTTTCTTTCTTTTCCAAGCCACATTTTTGGCTTGTTCTGTGGAGTCGTCCAGCCCCCATTCTCTCTGCAGCTCACTGCTGCAGAATTCTCTTTTTTTCTTTTTATTTAAATGAGCTTAAATCATCTCTGAATATATTAGATTACCTTCTCCCTTGGGTTGGTTATTTGTAGGGATGGAAGTAAACTGAACATTTAGCAGTCATCTTTTCTTTTTCTCTTAATTGAACAGAGGCTGGCTGCTGGGAGGATTGGTATCTACCCAAAGACCTCCGTGAGTGTCCACAGCCGGGCTCCTGCCGGGTCTGTAAACACACAAGGCCAAGCCAGGGCAAAGATGCTTCAGCATTTAGAGCCAGAACCTCGGCTTGTGAATAAAATCCTGCTTGAGGCCCACCTGGATCCACGATGGCCAAGTCCCTTCTTCATTGGCAGCCCATCTGCCTCATGTAGGGATTCACAGAGGCTTTGTGCCAGCCTTTAGGCAACTTCCTATTTCGCAAATGATTAATGGTTCCTAATGAGCAAAAGATGTGCTCTTCAGAGGACCTGTCTGGGTGAGCCGGCCTGGCCCCGGGGTCCACAGGAGAGGAACTCGTCCTCCGTGCTCTGAGGGACAGCAGCGGTCAGAGAGCCTTGATAGCACAGGGCTGATGCAGCTCAGGGCTTGCTGCTGCCTCTACAGTGAGTTTGCAAAATGTGTCCCCTCTAGATAGATACTGCCCCATAGCTGCACAGTTTGATGAGGAAAAGGCTCCTTCTAGGAAGAAAGCATGGCTCTTTCTCCAGGCACGTTCAGCGTGTGCCAGGGAGCGTGGCTTAATGGGGAGGGTGTGGACTGTGTTTTAGCCCCCACTGGGCTCCTTGGCCAGGCTCTTTTGTGAAGGGCCCTGAAGCAGATGCCTCTCGTTCTCTCATGGCAACTGGGCGGGTCTCTTCAGGTGCAGGCTCTTCCCACCTTGAGAAAAAGAATGACCTACCATCTTTGCCATCTCTTCCTCATGTCCTTTTCATGTCTTAACCATTCTTTTATGATGTAGGAATTATCAGTCCCATTTTAGAGATGGGAAAGCTAAGGATCAGAAAGAGCACTTTCCCAAGGTTATGGAGCTTATAAGTGATGAGACTTGGATGATGAGAGCTCGGGTCTGTCTACTCCAAAGCCTGTGGTCCTTCAACTACATTTCCTTGTAAAAATCACCAGATGGATCCTGATTTTGCATGGACTGTGATTTTATGGCTGCTGCAGTACTGGCTCTCCTCCTCCTCAACACTGTGATAATGTGTTTAGTCTGAATCTGGCTACCAGCTCTGCCATGCTCTGTGATAAACGCTGGGCTTATAAGGTAAGTGAGCAGAAGGACCTTCTTGTCTAGTTGGGAGAGATTGACATGTCATGTCACCCAACTCCTCTGTGTCTATCTCTGTTTCTCCATGGGAGGTGCCTGGGAGATAAAGAGCCTTGGACTGGGGGTCAGGGGTTTGGGAGCTTCCCTTCAGCCTGGCTGCTGAGCAAATCACTCAACTAGGTGACCAGTTTGTTGCAATTTGCTTGAGACTTTCCAAGTTTCAGTCCTGAGTGCCCCATGTCCTGGGAAACCCCTTCATCTTGGGCAAATCACTATGGTTGGTCACTCCACACTTGACCCTGAAACCTCTGCCTGTGTCCTCCATCAGACTCTACTTTCTAGAAAAAAGGGTGTCAGCATCTTTTTTTATTTTATTATACAAGTCATACATATTGATTGCTAAAAATAGATAACCAAAAAAGTGCTATGCTAAAATGGCTAATAAACATAAGAAAAGATGCTCAATTTCACTCTTAAAGAAATGCAAATCAAAACAAGATATCATTTTCACCTCTGAGATTGGAAAAGAAAATGAAAACATTGAGAATACTTTAAGCTGGAAAGGCTGTGGGGACGTGTACCCTTTCATTCTCTCGTGGGCGTGCAAATTGCTGCAACCTTTTAGGAAGTCCATCTGGCATATCTATTAACATTTGAGTGTGAACATCATTTGTCCTAGCAAGTCCATTTTTAAGAATGTGTCTTAAAGAAATATTTGCACGGAGCCATGAAAATGTATATGAAAGAACGTTCAATATAGACTTTTTGTTATTGTAAGAAAAAAAATGGAACAAACCCAGGAGTCTATCAACTGGGGTGATCTATTCCATATGGTGAAATTTTAGGCATCCTCTTCCTGTTATTTCTGTAGAAAGAGGTTTTCAAATTTTAGTGTGCATCAGAAACACCCGGAGGCCTTGTTTAAACAGAGTGCTGGTCCTCATCTGTAGAGTTTCTGTTTTAGTAGGTCTGGGATGGAGCCCAAGAATTTGCATTTCTAAAAAGTGATGCTGTTGATCCCAGGATCACACTTTGAAAACCACTGATATAGAGATAAATGAGATGTGACCTGGACCTAACCTTCTTCAGATGTGACCTAGTCCAGGTCTGGGAGCAGCACAGAGACAGAGAGGCTTGGGGAGAAGTCTAGGAGGGCATGGGGACCCTCTGATTCCCCTCATCCACTGGCTTGAAGCCCCCACTGATCACAAGAGCATGGGCCAGCTAAAATGGGGCTGGATCCTCAGCAAAGAGAGCACCAGGGGTTCCTGCAGAGCAGGTCCCAGCTGCGGGCAGAGAGAGGAAGCAGCTCGTGGGTTGGCTCTCACAAGCAAAGGTACAGGGCTGGGATGCGGGAGGGCCAGCTGGGTGACTTCTGCCAGCTGTGTTTGTTGGTGTGTCTGCTCCTCCCTGGAAGCTGGCATTCTGGTTTCAAGGACAACATCAGATGCTCAGAGAATAGAGGAGCAGGTGTTCCTAGGAACCAAACCTTGCAAATGAATTAACAGGTGTTGAAAGCTGCCAGGCAGAGGTGTGTTATGTGTAGACATTGTCTTCTGCTTTCTTCTCCTTTAATCACAGGATGATACCACCACCTCCCCCCCCCCCTCAGCTTGAGCTTCTCTTGAGCTCTTCCCTGGAGCATACTGGAACTTAATTTGGGACTTTCCCCCAGTTGCATGGTTTTGTTCTGCGTTCCTCATCCAGGGTGGTGGTTTGTTGTGTGAGGAGGAATTTGGGAGAGGAGTGAGGGAACATCTTCCTTCCTTCCTCCCTCATGGAAACCTTCATAATCCCAACTCTCACTATCGCCTTTGCTAGAATTTTTTTCCCCATGTCCTCGGTAAGGTTGGTGGAGGGAGGGAAAAGGAAAATAAATCACTGTTACTGCTGCTCCTCACTTGCCAATCTGAGCCTTGCTCTGTTTCTGGCCTCTGTTCCCTGGATGAGTCATCTTTTGTTCTCACCACCTGTGCAGGCTGACCAGCTCCTTTGAAACGCCGGACCTTCTTCTGCATGCTCCACGCATCCCCTAGATAGGGCACCCCAGTGCCCACTCGCTATTCGTGGTCTTGGGCCACTTTGATCCATTCATTGTACCTGGCTTTATCCTGGGTTTGACTTCTCTGGCTATTGAGTTTGCTGCTCATTCTCCCATTTGTCTCTTTTCTTCCTCCTTCAGATTTATACCAACTTGACTGTCCTCAAAATATCATTTTAGTTCCCTACCCCAGCTACAGTGCCCCAGGTTACCAGGGCTAGTTTCTACTCCTAGTTTTCCCCAGTAACCTTTGCCTCACCCTTCCTGTTCCAGTACTGCATCTGCTGACAGTGCAATGCAACCCCAAAGGAAAAGACTGGGAATTTCTTC